TGGAGACTCTTCCTTAAGGCTAATTCAGCCTGGCTGGCCAGCCATCCGTGCTGCAGCAAGGCCTGGGAACCTGCCATGGTTTCAAGCACTCTGACCATGCCCTTCTCTGCTCAGTAGCATGCTATGGCTCCCGATCACCCTTGGGCTAAAGCCCAAACTCCTTAGCCAGGCTCACTAAACCACTCATGAGCTGGCTCCAGCCTCAGTTACCACCGTGCCCTCTCTGCTGGTACCCCCAGGAACCTGATGCAAGATGAGATATTCTTCCTGTATCCACACGCCTCCGCCCCTCCATGCTCCTCCTAGGATGGCTGTGTGCATCTTACGACCAGCAACTCACTTCCATCTTTAAAGAGACAGCTGCAGCCACCCGCTCCTCTCCCACAGCCAAACCCCAGCACACTGCTCATCACCCTCCCTGGCAACAGCCTGCTCCTAGCTCTGCCTCCCGAGGGCAGGGACCTTGTGGTCCCCTCCTATCCCAGCAGTCTGGCCTTGAATTCATCCCAGAGTGGAGACGGAATCAGTATTTGCTGAATGCCTGCAACTATCTAACAGGTGCATCCAAACACATGCCCTCATCCTCATGCTGATGGAGGGAACCTTCCTGGGTTACCCAAAGCCGCAGCGGGCACGCCGTAAAGGCATGTTCGAATCTCCGTACCCTCGTGCCTGGGACGTCAAGCCATGTCACGCCACTTGAGGAAAAGGGCTCGAGGAGGTCACGTCACTTGTTGAAGGTCACAATTTAGCAAGTGTCAGGATCCAGCTCTCCTGACTCGAAATTTAATTTTGAGATCGATCGAACACTGATGCAATCTTGCTGTCCATTTTCTCATCGGCCACCAAACAGAAAGGGTGTTTTGAGGGAGAAACGAGGCCCACACTTTCCAAATGATGGTCTTAAGATCAGCATCAGAATCCCCGAGGTGACTGTTTACAGAACGTAAATCCTGGGTCCCAGCCCAGATTTTTAAAAAGAAATTTAAAAAAGGAAGAGTATGTGGGGACGGGATCCAGGAATTTGCGATCTGTAAATGATGTGCACGTTCTCTGACAGGCAGCCAAGTTTGGGGACCCCCGAGACACCCGGAAGAGCCTGGTACACAGCAGGTGCTTCACAAATGTTCACGGAACCCACATTCTGCAAAGCCACGGGCATTCACAGCTTTCGGACCCAGATTGCTGTGTGCTCTTGGGGAAATCACTCAACCTCTCGGGGCCTGTTTCCTCATTAGTAAAATGGGTCAAAGCAGAAATATCTACCTCCTAGGGCCAGGGTGAGGGTTATTTATAATGCACTTATGGCTGCCACCCAGACCATCTGCAAGTCCCGTCAACGTCACGCCAACGCACGTCTGTCCCTTCTGGCCGTCTCTATCAGCACTCAATCCAGGTGACCACTTCCTCCAGCCCAGAGGGGTGCTCTCACCTCCTAATAGCACCGACCCATCCCATTCTGCACACAGAAGGGCTGTCCCCTAAAAAGGGAATCGGATGGTCACTCCCTGCTCAAAATCTTCCAATGGCTTCTCACCACCCTGGGAATAGAACCCAAACCTGCCCGGCACTGCATGCCGTCGTCTCTGCCCGCTCTTCCCTCTCCCGGGGTAGTGACCCGACCTCCCAAGTTAAACAAGACCCCGTGGAACTCCCTATTCCAAGACCCCACTGCCTTTCTTTATTGCCCGAATCAAGGTGTGGGTATTTCTATTTATTGGTAGCATTGTTTGCTTGTCTTCTTTCCCATCAGATGCTAAGATTCATGAGGGAGGGTAACACACCTGCGTTACTCATCCCCATTACATACCTAGATCTACCACCGCACCTGACACCCGGCAGGTGCTGCAGAATGAACGAATGGATGAATGAACAAATGAACGAATGGATGAATGGATGAACGGACGAATGAAATTGTTCAGCACCACACCAGCACGTTAGATGCAGCCAGCAGCAAACTCAGCTTCCTCTCCTTTCCCCCTCCTGCCTGCTCCCCGGCCTCTGTCCCCGGGGCCCTCAGGTAAAGGACAAATGCCATTCATGGGAGAGGAGACGAGGCAGAGCCCAATGTCGTCACTGCTTTATTTGATTAGCTCCGACTCTGGCATCCGGGACACGTGCGCTGGGAGACAAAGCAACTGTACCCTGACCTCTGGTCCCCAGGATCCCATCCGTGTAACAATTTCCATGACAACAGCAACAGAAAGCCAAGGCTGTGCATTCCCTTTGATAGGAGCCGGATGCAGAGACTGGGAAGAAGGACTTTCAGAAGAATGAAGCCCTTTGATTCAGCTCGAGGCGCCTTCATTAAAAACCACTGTTTTCCAAAAACACACACTCTAACCCAGCAGAGGGAGAATTCTCGTGAATACGGAGGAAAAAAAGGGGGAAAAGGAAACAAAACCACCGTGATTCCTTTTCAAGAACATTCACCTGTGGGGAGGGCGGGCCTGGGTGGACTATTTTGGTGGGAGACAGGCAGAGCCCGTGCCCCTGCTAAGGGGGCTGCATGAACCCCTGCCCGAGAGCGTGGACATCTCTGCCCATCTGAGGCCAACCAAGAGGCTTAGGTCTTCCACCCGCCTGGCCAGACAGAAGGGAGAATAGTGACCAACTGTCCTGGTTTGCCTGGGGCTGAGGGCTTGCCCAGGACACAGAACAAAACCAGGACGGTCTGGACAAGCCAGGACGGGTGCCCCCCGCCCCCCCCCAGAAGAGAGTACGCTGATTGAGGAAACTGCTAAGCATCAGAGAATTGTCAAGAGAGAAGGGTCTTTATGTGTCTTCTGCCTTAGCAATACTGCCCATCTGGGGTGTTCTTTCCAGAACCCCACAAACCTGGGCTGATTCTGAGAAGGACATCAGGCAAACCCCACTTGGGGGACACTGTACAGGATACCTGGCCAGGACGCCTCAGAACCGTCAAGGTCAGGAAAAACAAGGTAAGACTCAGAAACTGTGGCAGACCAGGAGACCAGGCGGGCACGACAAGGAAGTGCCGAGCGGCGCCCTGGGCTGGGCCTGCGGGAAAGGGACATTCCCAGACCAACTGCTAACATCTGAAGCAAGGCTGGAATGCGTTTTGTTTTTGTTTTTTTACAAAAGCTTTTCTACTTCAGCTAATAATCTCTACCTGAGACCTTTCTTTTTTTTAAGCCTCACCTGAGGACATTTTTTTGCATGTATCTTCAGATAGAGTGGGAGGGAGAGAGGGAGGAAGAGAGAGAGAGAGAGAAACATCAATGTGAGAGAGACACATCAACAGGCTGCCACCCGCATGACCCCAACTGGGGCTGGGGACAAACTGCAACCGAGGTACATGCCCTTAGCAGGAACCGAACCCGGGACTCTCCGGTCCGCGGGCCGACGCTCTAACCGCTGAGCCAAACTGGCCAGGGCTGAATCCTTTCATTTTACAGATGGGAAACTGGCACCAGAGACGGAGCAGTAGAAGCCCTAGATCTTGTTTCTAGAGCCCAGACAGACTCTGCTGCCTCCCGCTGCCTTCCCAGGGATCTGCGGACAATTGTGAACTTCTCCAGGAGGAGGAGGGAAGCACTGAGTTGGGAACATAGGTTCGAGGCCTGGCTCTACCTGTAAGAGGCTGTGTGACCTTGGGCAAATCCCTCACCCTCTCTGTTCCCTGGTTTCTTCATTTGTCAAATGGGGAGAATGAGTCCACTGAATCCAACAGGAAGGCATTTTTGTTCAGCATGTATGTGTGCAATGGACGGGGTGGGTGTCATCAGACACGAGTCAAAGATTTCCTGCCCTCAGGAAGAGCAGAGTTTTGTTCGGGAGTCAGTCCAGAAAGGACAGACTACCATCTACGTTCCTGAGAACATTCTGTGAGGACGGAAAAGCCGCTGGCCACATGGTAGAAGGCCAGAGCAGGAGGAGGAAGGGATGGCGACCCTCCGAGAAGGTGAGGTGGTGAAGGTAGACAGAAGGCCTTTCCTCTCACCGCACCTGGGTTCAGCACCCATGTTTTATCCCAGGAAGGTGCGTGACTTAGGGTAACATCAAATGCAAAGGCAAAACACCCCCAGCGGGACTCTGAGCCTCCAAACCCTGAGTCCTTGTTGCATCATTCAGCTCCGGGACCTCTCTCCCAAAGGCTCCCGTCACCCTATGGGGTCTGATCCACTGACACCTCTCAGCACCTGCCACCCTGGACCACACTGCCTGCCCCTGGCACTGGCCACACCAGCACGTGTCCTGAGGTCTTCATTCCAGCCCGGCCTCACCTCCCATCCGCCCTCAAGCCTGCCTCTCTAGACCTCCTCTGAGGCAGCCGGGATGGTGGGGCCTGAAGACCTGGGTTCCAATCCTGGCTCTGCCACTTTCTAGCTGTGTGCCTGTGGGTGGGTCACCTCACTGGTGAAATGGAGCTGATGATCCTCATCTCCCTCAGCTCTCCTGAGAACTCAGTGCGACATCCTGTATAGGTGGCGGTGTGACCAACATCATTTCATGATCACTATCAGCAGCCTTCCAACAGGCAGTCGAACGGCTATTATTTGTTACTGGTGTTGGTAGAAATAGACTTTGCATTATTAGCACTATTACTGCTAGTTTTATACCCAGCCCTGGTAGTCAATGCACGCACACACATGCATACGTACAAATACATGCACCTACAAACACACACTCCCGTGTATGAACAAACGCACACAGCTACAAATGCCTGCTCCCACATATGTGCAAATGCAGGCGCACGTGAAGGCACGCGTGTGCTGCACTCAGCCATTCTGCCCCAGGGCCCTGATCGGCCCACGCCCTCAAGATGCACTGTCTCAGCCCTGAAGACGGGAACGAGAGTCCTCAGTCATTTACAAATGCCTCCTCCTCATCTACCACCTCCATGTGACCCACCAGCCCTGGCAACGCCCCCCCTCAGGTCAGCGCCGCACCACGCCCATACCCGGGAGGAAGAGCCATTTCCCCAGTGGCTGCAACACTTCCCCAGCCCGATTTTAAGGGGACCCCGAGACACCCACCTGGCTGTGCACTTTCTCCAGCTCCTCCTTGCTGACCGATGCCTTGCCGTCCTCCATGGTCCCCAGAAGGAGCTGCACATCTGACAATAGCGCATGAGTCCTTCTGAGGTCCCTCCGAAGACGCTTCTCCACATCAAAGTCCCGATGGCCGATCTAGAAGCCAAAGGAACGTACTCATGAGTTAAGACAGCAAAGCAGCGGCCAGGGTCCAAGTCCTCTGGAATCAGGCTCCCTGGGTTCAAATCCTGGTCTTGCCACTCACTGCATGACCTTGAACAAGACCCTTTCCCCCCAAGCCTCAGTTTCCTCATCTGCAAAATGGGAACAGCATCAAGCACACGCGGCTGCTGTGAAAACTAAATGTGTGCGTAGCCGAATGCCTGACTCACTTCTCCTTGCAAGAGCGTACAGGTCAGGTGACGCCCTCTGCTGGCAGCGGTCAGAACAGCAGTTAGCCTAGAGGGGTAGGGACTTGAGAGAGTGGGGGCGGGGGGCTTCCGAGAGTGTTAATGTTACACATCTGGGCGCTGGTTTTATGAATTTATGAAAATTCGCTGAGCTGCATGGATGGGATATGGCGTACTTCTCTGCATGTACATTACACATCACTAAATGGTATATGCTTTTGAAAGTCTAAATCCAGCTTTTCCGGCCCGAGCTGGTCCCCTTTGCCAGTTTAAGGACAGGCGGACCAGGTCACTTTCTACAGAGGGAGCTTACCCAGAGGCGAGCACATTCCTTCCCCCAGAATCCTGAAGCCACATCCTGAACTTGGCACCAGGAGGGTGACAACTGCCCGCCAAGGGAGACAGAATTATGCAGGGGCTCGACGGGTACCCCCGAGGGACTGCAGTCTCCCCGAAAACAGAGCGCTGACTTGACACTAAGCTCACATCTCTGAAAGAAGCCGACAGTGCCCTTCTCTGCAGGGGACCAGAGGAAAGAGCACGGCCCCAGCCATCGGATGGGGACACCGACGCCTCGACCCTGGGCCTCGGTCTCAACCCGCCGGGGCTCTGGGGCTCTGGGCCGAGCACAGCCATTTCCTCCGGGGCTCAGCACGCCCTGAGCTGTTCCAGAGGCTTGTGGGTTCAGAATGAGGTGGCCAAGGCTTACACCCCGGCTCGCCCCGGCCAGCAGCGGGAGCATTGGCTGGCTTAGGTCACCTCTCTGAACCGAGTGTCCTTGTCTATGAAAGAAGAGGTTAGAAAGCCCCACGCTCCGCGTTGAGACCACAGAAGCCGGACATGACGACGGACGGAACGTACTCTGCGGGCTGAGGTTCGCAGATCCTGAGGGCGGTGCGTGTGGTCTGACGACCTGGAATGCCCTCTTCGGGTTCTGCATCCCACCTCCCGTTTCCCAGCCTTTCAAAAATGAGTCGTTTCTTTCTTTCTTTTTTTTTTTTTTTTGTCCTTACCCTAGGACACTTTTGCATTTATCTTCAGATAGAGTGGGAGGGAGAGAAGAAGAGAGAGAGAGAGAAACATCGACGTGAGAGAGACACATCGAGTGGTTGCCACCCACACGACCCCAACCGGGGCCGGGGACAAACTGCAACCGAGGTACCTGCCCTTACCAGGAACTGAACCCAGGACTCTCTGGTCCACGGGCCGACGCTCTAATTGATAAGCCAAACTGGCTCGGGTGAGTCGTTTCTTAGAATAGAGTTTCTTTGTCCTCAGATAGATTGCTTTAAGTTATGAATGCTGGAGATTACAGATATGATATGGTATGGTATGATATGATATATGATATAGAATATGCATTATACATATATATTCGTATTCTCACCTGCTGAGCTGAGGACGGGCGTTGTGCCAGGTCCTTTGTCACATGTCATTACATTGAACTCCTGTGACAATCTCTTAACAACGGACATTATTATTATTATCGTCATTGCCTTTACATAAGTGGTAGTAGCTCGCACGTATAGCGGCTAGGGTCAGACACTGCTCTGAACACTGCGGACAGGAGCCAGTGAGTCCTCACCGCGGATCTCGGCTTGCGGACCCTGCTTCCCCGCTCACCACGAGGGAAGGGAAGCTTCAGCGATGGAGTCGTTTGCCCAAGATCCCACAGCCGGCAATAAGCGGCAGAGCTGGGACAGGAGCCTCACTTTTCTGACCGCAAGGGAGGTCATTTCCATAAAACATGTGATGTGGGAAGAAAAAGCGTTATGGAGGTGCCGAGGGGCACCGTGGAGCCCAGGCCAGGACGAGGTGGACCAGGGGGAGTGTGAGGTCGGCAGGACCTAGCCTGGTGAGGTCGGGAAGGACCCTGCAGGGGGAGGCGCTGCCTGAGCAGAGGGCGGGCGGAGAAACGGTCTTGCGTATTCTGTTCTGGGTGGTTAGCGTGAGGCTGTGGGGCAGGTCACAGAGGGAGAGGCCACCTGAGGCCGGTGCATGTCTTCTGAGCTGTGTGGGGCTCTTAAGTATGTGCTGTCGGGGGAACGGAGGCACAGCCGATGACACTGACGCGGAGAGGGAAGGTGAGCTGCCCAAGGTCCTGTGGCGGCTCTGCAGGGGTTTGAGCCCAGGCAGCCCAGCATTAGAATGCAAGTCTCTAACCACTGCGCTCACTGCCTGCTGGAACCCAAATCCCAGTTTACTCACTTGAGCCCAGGCCCTGCCCCACGACTGCCTTCCCGCAGCATGCACGGACCCCTCCTTAGTTCTGTGTCTGTTCCCACTCGGCACACGTCCTGAAGTGCCCTCAACTCTCCTAGGGGGCAATTGGGCAACAGGTACACTCCTGGCCGTGCAGGAAGGGCGGCTGAGACTCTGCCCTCTTCTCTGCCAGAACAACCCCACAAATGCTGCCGCGTCCCCTCTCCAGAAGGGCCCTTGCGCACAAGTTCACCGCCAACCCTCGGACCCAGTCATTTATAATGAATTGCTATAGGAAAGGAATGGGGGGAAGGGCTCATTAGGTTAATGGGAAATAAATGTCATTCTGCGCGTTCACATCTTACAGCACAAAGATTCACATTTAGATAAAACTGGTGAATAATTAACCAATAAATCTAAATAATGTATAGCGTTGTTGTGAGAGACTCCGGTCAAACCTCCATGGTTTCGCCATTCATAATAAAGGCAGGCTGTTGGGGGCTGCTGTGAAATGTCCATAGTCAAAGAACTCTCTCAGCACTTTAAAAATATGATCTGGGTCTGGCCGGTGTGGCTCAGGGGTTGAGCACTGACCCATGCACCAAGGGGTCGCCGGTTTGATTCCCGGTCAGGCCACATGCCCAGGTTGTGGGCCCGATCCCCAGTGGGGGGCATGCAGGAGGCGGCCAGTCAATGTTCTCTCTTATCGATGTTTCTCTCTCTCTCTCCCTCTCACTTCCTCTCTCTCTAAAATCAACAAAGAAAAAAAAGAAAACAACAAATATGACCTGGAACGGTTGTTGGGGACAATCCAGCCACTTTTCAGGTGGGGGAATGGAGGTCTGGAGAGAGAATGTGCGTCGCCGAAGGCTGCGCAGCAAATTAACGGCAGAACTGGATTGACTTACAACATCATCAGACATGAGGGTCCACAAAAGGATGATTCCACTCAATGAGATCTTAATCACCTTGAAGCCGCATGGTGTTTGATTTCAAAATGCAGGTTTTCACATCACGTACACCGCATCTCAAATCCACCTGGGCCACTAACAATCTACAGATCGCGGGCGATTTGCGGTCCCTTTTCCTGCTTTGCTTCTTTCATGTGTCCGTAGGAACTAGTAATCCCTATCCCACAGCATTGTTGTGAAAATTAAATACTAGAGTATTTTAGGAAAAAAAGTATAATTAAGTTGTTATCTTAAAACAGATGGTGACTAGCCAAAGAATGGAAACAGGCTTTGTAGCTTTAGAATCAGCAGTAAAGCCAAAGTGAGCATAGAATACATCAATCGATCCGAAAGTGATCATAGAATACGTTATCAATCGACCCAAAAGCAGAAAAGTAGCCAAATGAAAAGCAAAGAAAAGGGACAATGAACCAACCAGTACTAAACACAAAAGAAGAGAATAGAAACATATTCAAATATATTAGTCATTATAATAAATGTAAATGAATTAAATTATCCTATGAAAAGTTAAGAGACTAAAAGTGGATTAAAAAGTATAAAGGAGCCCTGGCCGGTTTGGCTCAGCGGTTAGAGCGTCGGCCTGCAGTCCTGAGAGACCCGGGTTCGGTTCCTGATAAGGGCATGTACCTCGGTTGCAGTTTGTCCCCGGCCCTGGTCGGTTGTGCGGGTGGCAGCCACTCGATGTGTCCCTTTCACATCGATGTTTCTCTCTCTCTCTCTCTCTCTCTCTCTCTCTCTCTCTCTCTCCCTCCCTCTCTCTCTCCCTCCCGCTCTACCTGAACAAAAAATGGAAAAATGTCCTCGGGTGAGGATTAAAAATAATAATAATTTTTTTAAAAAGTATAAAGGAAATACACACACCCTTACACATTTAAAACGGTTGAAAACAACATAATTTAAAAAGATCTTGCAGGTGAACTAAAAGAAATCAAACAAAATAAAATAAGGCAAAAATCATTCACTAAGCAATGAAGGACACCATATAATAATCAAAGGAACAACCTATAATCTGTCAAGGAAATAAAGCCATAATAAACTTAGATGCAGCTAAAAATATAACCTCTAAATATATAAAGGGGGAACTGAAACAGAATTATAAGCCAAACTTGATAAAACTGCAATCATAGTGGGACTATACAGGATTCTCCCAGAAATAGATCAAACAGACCAAACCAAAGTGAACAGAAAGTGGTTTTAAATATCATATCTTAAACTTTTTCTTTATGGTTTATAATTTTATATTTGATTCTAATATTTAAATTTCAAAATTAACAAGCTCCAACCACTTGTCATGCATAGAAATCTATGCCTCAAAAATAGCTAGATTCTTTTCCAGTAAATAATTTATTAAACTTGACCATGAACTGAGACAGCAAAGAGATCTCAGCAATTTTAAAGAATGAATAAATGTTACACATTCTATCGTGTTATGTGTCCGAAGCGACATGAAACTAAAAATCAACAGTAAACAGTTATTCCAGAAAATCACAAATATTAATAAATTTAACACTCAATTTCTAAACTTACAGGTTAAAGGAAGGATATGACAAAATGTTTAGCATGTAAGGGTGGAATGAACACAGCAATTTGAGATAAATATATGACCTTAAACGTACTTTATAAAGCATCTTAAATAGAACAGAAATATTGGAAGCGAGCTAACATAGTCAACATCTAAACTCAATAAGGAAGAGGATACCATCTGAATTTGTGTTCAATTATTATTTCAAAATAGCAACCAAAATGTTCACCCTACTTCCTTAAAGCAAGTAGGCCCAAATAGGTTTACAAGTAAATTATATCAAACCTACAAGAACTGCAGAATCCAAATTTTATAAAAATGATTCCAGGCATAGTTGCCAGCTCATTTTATGAGGTTAGTATAACACCGGACAAAGACAGTATAAGAAAATAAAATTACAAATCAATCTTTCTCATGAGCCCAGTTTCAAAAATCCTGAAAAATGTTAGCAATTCAAAAGAGTAATGAATGAATCAAAAAGCATATGACTGACTCAGATTTGTCTGGGAACTCTAACAGGATACATTGTAATATCCAAACTATAATATATGACATCAACAGATAAATGAGACCAGTCATAGGATTACCAACAATCGCAGGAAGAAAAAATCTGCTAATATTCAACAACCAGATATTTTTTGAAATATTGGAAACTACAAGCAGAAGACCGACTTAACCTGATCAGATTTGCTTAGCAAACACACACTGCAAATGTCAGGTGAGCAACGCGACTTGAGGAGCATCTCTGTCCAGGGGAGCAGGGAAGATAAGCCCTGTGTCTTCTCTCCCATCCCCTCATACGGAGGCCCCAGCAATGAGGGACGAGAGGACAGGCAGTCCAATTTAACTCTCAGTGGCTGATAAACATTTTAAAAATATCTGTCAGTGCCATATGTTAGCAGAGACGTGGAGAAGTGGAAAAAAAAAACAATAATAAATACATCCTGCTAGCGACAGTGTACACTGTCACAGTCACTTTGGGGAATGACTTGGGCGATACCTAATAATTCCAAAATGAGACCGACCTCAGAGCCGGCAATTCCCCTTCCGGCTGCACACCCGGGAGAAACCCGCCTGTGCCTGGTGAGACACATAAAAACACGCACTGCAAGTTTGTGTCTTGGAGTGGGCACGACTGAACACCTGAACACTCACCAACAGAGGATGGAGTGTTACAATATGTATACTGTGTAGCAATTAGAACGCAGGCATGAGGGCTGCCTGCACTCCCACAGCCTAATCTCGGAAACAGGACGGAGGGGCGGAGGAGGGACGGAGGAGACGGAGCAGAGAACCAGGTTGCTGCCCGCGGTCCAGGTCCAAGTCGAAGCACATGCAGAGAACTCCCACTCTGACCTCAGGACAGGGGCTCCTCCGGGAGAGAGGGATGGGGGGGCCCACAGGAGAGGGAGACTGGGAGTGCAAACCAAGGGACCACCGACTGCTTTTCAAATGTCATGTTTCCTTACAAATATCTGAATCAAATATGGGCGAAATATTCATTTATGTGAACCCTGGGTGCTCGGTGCACAAACAGCAATTACATGAGTCATTCTGCTTTTCCATGTGTTCAGCAAATGTCTTAATAATTTTATATATATAAATATATATATACACGATCGAATGGGGTAGTTTATTGGAAGGCTCCAGCTTGCTGACTCACTCAAAATTAGCATTTTTTAAAACTTAAAGTTCTCTTTGCTTGTGAAGTTTCTTTAATTTGAGCAGTATTTATAAAACCCTGGCCTGGTTGGTTGAGCATCGACCCATGCACCAAGAGGTCTCCGGTTCGATTCCCGGTCAGAACACATGTCCAGGTCGTGGGCCTGATGCCCAGTGGGGGGCATGCAGGAGGCGGCCAATCGCTGCTCTCTCTCATTGATCTTTCTTGCTATCTCTTTCTCCCTCTCCCTTCCTCTCTCTCTAAAAATCAATAAAGAAAAAAAATTTTTTTTTTTAACCTGCCTTTCCTGGATTGCCCGCTCTGTTTTCTCCGATGGGCAACACGGACCTGAAGGCAGCCGGCTCCCCCTGGCTCCTGACTGCCGACCCGGAGCCAGGTACGGCTGTGCTCGGGGTGCTGACGCCAAGGGGCCAGGACCTCAGCGCCTCTGAACCCGAGAGCCCAGCCTGCTCAGCTGCAGAACCAGGAACTCCAGAGAAGGGGCATCACGCAGCTTCCTGCTGATTCTCTCTGCTTCCCACGCCCTCCCACTGCTGTGGTGGGTCCTTCTCCCAGATTCCGGCTGTTTTTTGTCGTTTTTTTCGAATACATAATGAGCGCCGCTGTGTCTAAGGCCTGGCTGCTCGGATGGCCGCTGGAAGTGGGTCCCCCTTCCTTTGTGAATAAGCGAGTGGCTGGGGGGAGGGACGATGGCAAGATCATCACTAATTAAAAGACAATGAGTGCAGCCCTGGCCGGTTTGGCTCAGCAGTTGGAGCATCGGCCTGCGGACCACAGAGTCCCGGATTCGGTTCCCGCTAGGGGCACATACCAAAAAAAAAAGAAAGAAAAAATATATATAAAAGACAATGAGTGCATTTTAAGCAAATACATGAAAAGGCACATTTATGATACGTGAGCAGAGATCGCGGCAGCACAGGGGTCTGTCTCCAGTGTTGGGGTTCCCGCAGCAGCAGCACAGGCAGAGACACGACTGTTTGGGGGATGGAGGCGCCGGTCCTCGCCACGCGGAAGCCAGGAGCTGGCTCGGGGCTCCGCTAGCTGCCCCACTCACGGGGCTTCTCCGGGAAGGCGGGGGCTGAGCTGTCCGCACTGGACATCTCGCGATGTCTGCAGGCATTTCTGGTTGTCACAGCCAGGAGGGGGACTACTGGCATATATGGGTGGAGGTTGGGGACACCGCTCAGCACCCTACTGCGCAGGGACAGCCCCCACAACAGAAAGTAATGTGGCTGAAAAGGACCCCGTTGCCGTGGAGAGAACTCTGATACACAGTGACGGCAACAACCCCACGAGGCTTGCTCGCCAGAAGCCCAGGTGGCAGTGTGGGCCAGCTCCCCAAAGCAGTGCAGACAGAAGTGGCCCTGCTAGGGTGCCAAGTGACACTTGCCTACTCTGAGCCCGGCTGCCTCCAGCAGGGCCTTGTTCTCGCGAGAAGCCAGCTGGGCGCACAGGGCCGTTCTCATTCGCCCCAGTAAAGCGAGGGCTGCCCACTCTCAGTAACAGCTGCTGAAGGCAGGGGCCTCGTCTTCACTCTGGCTGCACCCACTCTAGTCCCCGGGGCTCTTCTAAGGACACCGCTGTGTGTGGACCCAGAAGGTCCCCCTTGCAGAGCCAGTGTGGGCAGGGACACAATTGGTGGAGAGGAGGGCACTCGGTAGAAGCAGAGGGTGGCCTGGCTGCCCTAAGGGCCCCTCCAGCTGGCCTCCCCATGAATCCGCCTCTCTACTGAGGCCCGGGGAGGAAGCACGTGCTCCCAGATGTCTGCTGGCGGCTCCCCCTCCTCACCTGATCACAGAGGGTTCCGATCAAGCCTTCCAGATCCTGCTTCTCGTGGAGGACCATCTGTTTCTCCTCATGTTCCTGCTCCAGCTGCATTTCCAGTTGGCGGAGCTGTGGGCACAAAGGGCAGATTCGCGTACCGGAGAAATGAGCTCCCTCCGGACAAGCTCCCCGAGGCCGGGACCCTCCCCAGGAGGAGGGGATGTGGATGGAGTTCAAGGCCCTTCACCCGGTTCCACAAAGGCTGCCCTCGTGCTCAGAAGCAGGTGTCTCTGTCGGAGAACTCCGGAGCTGAAGGGCTAGGGAGTCAGAGAACTATGAGAGCTGGTCAGTGACGGGGAGCCCCGGTCTTTACTGTGAATGACGCCCCATCCCCCAGTTCCCTACCCGGTCCCTGACAGATGCCTCCTTCCTATGCCCTGACCTAGCTTGAATATTTATAAGTCTTGGCACTCTGACTGTTTTTCAGGCTCTGCACGACTCTGAATGCACCCACCTCCCTTATTAAACATATAAATACACTATATTTATATAGTGATGCAGTAAAAAAAAGTTGCATTTGAAATTATTTGGTGTTATGGACTGCATGTGTGTGTCCCTACAAAGTCCACCTGTTGAAACCCTCCCCCAGTGCAATGGTATGTGGAGGTAGGGCGTCTGGGTGGTAATTACGTTGAGATGACATCATGAGGGTGGAGCCCCCATGATGGAATGAGAGCCCCTATAAGAACAGACACGCCAGAAGCTGGCTTCCTCTGTCTTTCTCCACTAAAATGAGGAGGTGACTGTCTACAAGCCAGGAAGAGAGCCCTCACCAGACACCCTGGTCTTGGACTTCCCAGCCTCCAGGACTGTGAGAAGTAAATGTCTATGATGCTCTGTTACAGCAGCCTGAACAAGACATGTGGCCACAAGGAATTCACTTAATTTACAGTCGGCTGTGATTTCTCAGCAATCACCCGGCAAAGCCAGGCATTCCCCGCGGGAGTGAATACCGCCAGCCTTGCACACCTCTTCCCCATCAGCCTCTCTCACATATGTGGTCTCACCCCTTCATGCTCCCTCTGTACCTTGCACCTTCGGTGTCCCCCTTGCACAGATGGACAAACTGAGTCGCAGAGAGGTTCCAAAGTGCATACTCTTAAGTTAGCTTTTGCTAAGAGAAGTTAGGTGTCGGTCTCCTGGCCCCAGCTCCACCTGCCACTCCAGACAGCCACCAGCACCCCCACTCAGGTTGCTAACGATTGATTTCCTGCCACGGTGAGACAGACTGAGCAGAGCAGTCCCGAGATGTGAAGTCAATGTCAGTGTCTGTCATAAGGAGAAAGACGCCTTTCTCTGCCCTCACTCTCTCCCTTTATAAATCTGTCCTCGGCAAAGCCTCAGGAAGGCTGGGGTCACACCTCCAGCTCACTGGGGCCCTGGCTCAGGGCACCCCCTCATGCTTAGAGGCGCTCTTGAAATGCACCAGAAATGGTTCAACCTTCCATTGAGGGCTCACGGGCAGGGACTGAGGGCTTCTGTCTCCTGACCCATGGAGGGGAAAGAAAAAAGTGATTGAAATGAAGCAAGTTCATTTGAAAACTTTCTTCTAAGAAAGATATAAGGCAGTCTGCTCACAGTCACTTTCAGAACAAAGATGGGAACAGCTAAAATAAATTTTGAAAAAATATACAAAATAATAAAAACTCTACATCAAGCAAGGCAAATTTTTTCTGGAGTGTGTCCTATGGAATATTTCCACACAGTGTTCACAGGTATGATGTGGGAGGGGGGGAATACATGCTAGAATAATTATGGGAACCACTGAGTGGACAGGGTCTTCAGTGCAGAACTTATCAGAGCCTTTGGCACGTCGTTGTGCAGGAAGTGCTAAGAGATGGAGCACTGCCCAAGGTTGACTTCTATTGTGCTTCTGAAATGGCCTTTCATAAGTTCAAACATTTGCAAAATAAAAAAAATATCTTGTGTCTTGGTTAAGAGTCTGGGCTTTGGCATCAGACAGACCTAGGTTCAAATCCTAGCCACCAAGCCGGCTCCCTGGCTGCCTAGAAACCCAGAGTTGCTGTTCAGTCTTCACCAAACAAAGCTTACAGTACAAAACTGGGCAATGTTTCCACATCTGCCACCTCCCTGAGTCTTCGCTGTCACCCTGCAGAGTAGCCATTAGGATCCCCATGTCAGATGGGAGAAGTGAGGCTGTTCGTGAGGCTATGCAGTGTCTCAAAAGTCCTGCATTGGTCGTGGAGGGAGCTGGGACTCGATCCAACCCCTGCGACTCCAAACGAAGCAGCAAAGCTGGCTTTCTTGGGTGTCACAGTGCACCCGAGGCTACGGAAGGCCCGGAGAAGCCCTGGAGTGAAACACCTGCTAAGTGGGGCGTACCCCCAAGCTCTCACCAGCTCCCCTTTCAGCGTGCGTCTCATACTCGTATCAGTCAGTGTATCTATAGGGCTATTTGGCTCAGCATTGGTGGTAACAACAGAAAATCAGAAATACCCAAGTGTTCAACCTCAGGAGACTTGTTAATCAATCGAAGCGTGGCTCTATGGTGAGCAACTTTTTTCTTTTCCTTTTTATTATTATTTTTTTATTGATTTTAGGGAGAGAGAGATAGAAACATTGATGAGAGACAACATCGATCGGCTGCCTCCTGCACGCCCCCTGCTGGGGATCAAGCCCACCACCTGGGCCTGTACCCTGACCGGGAATCGAACCAACGACCTATTGGTCCATGGGTTGACACTCAGCCACTGAGCCACACCGGCTGTAGGTTAGATCTGTATTTACTGACATGGAAGGAGGCCCAGGACAAACTGCCGAGGGAATAGCAGGTCCCAGATCAATCTTACCCCTTCAGGCAAAACGCTATCTCGACAAATATGTATGTGTGTGTATCTAGAGAGACGGATGAAAGAACATTGAGAAATAGTAATAATGACGGTTTCCGGGTGGTGAGGTTTCAAGGGTTTACTGCCTTCTTGTGCGCTGTTTGAAGTGTCTGCAGAGCACCCGGGCAGAATGACAGCAATGATTTCAGTTGCGAGGGACAGAGCCAGGTGCGCTCCTGGAGACACCCAAGTCCTTACCTGAGGCATCGGTCACGTGGCATTATGGGCTGTTGGCAGAAATCTTGGGGTGATTATGCTGGACAGTTCCAGAGGCTTCTGGAAGTTTCTGGGCCATACTTAAGATAGGTACTTTTGCTCCAGCACCCGTGAAGGCACTTAGGGAGCTAAGGTCTCAGGTGTTTGCAGAAAGCGTCTGTCCCCAAGCCCTGCAGCCAACCTCACCCTAAGGAAGAGGGAACCAGGGCGGGGCCCACCCGGTCGCCATGTGCAGCTGGACGCGCTGCTGACGCACCCGCTTCTGGCAGGACTGGCGGACATCCTCCAGCTCCTCCTCCTGGTCCTCGCGGTCCTTCTGGTGCATCTGTTCCATCCGCTCTATCTCGAGCTCAAACCGCTGGCGGAGCTGGGGCAGCAAAACAGCACAGGAAGGTGAGCCTCGCCCACCCCCCCGCCCTCCACGCACCCGCAGCATTCCGATCGCATTTCCCATGGTGGGAGTGCGTGGGTGAGAGTCACGTTCTCCCCCCAGGCACCCAGGGAGGTCAGAACTGTAGACAAACAGCCCAAATGCTGCTTCTACCCCCCTTCCGTGGCCATAACAAACACTGCTAATCAATCATACTCTCTTCTGCCGAGTTTAGATAGAGCCTCAGAATCCTTCTCAACACCCTTAAGATGAAACACGCGTCATCATCCCTGGGGCAGACATCAGTGCTGGGTTTTTGGATGGGTGGATAGGTCAGTGGATGGCTCGTAGGATGAAGTTTAATTTATGAAGATAGGGAGAGGGAGCTCACTGGCCCAACACGCTACATCAAACGGTTTTGTCTCTGATCAGGTCTCCTTCTCTGTAGAAAACAACTGTCTTAGAATGCTATTGTGGGAGTTAAATGGATTGGTCCATGTAAAGCACTTAGCACAGTGCCAGGCACATCGGTATTACTTTCTCTTTCCCCATTATTTTGGAAACAGAAAGCAGGTCCAGGCAGCCTGCCTTGATAGGACCTGTGTTCCCAGGAAGGGCTCAGTTCATAAATGAGACCCGGCAACACTTGCTCAGAACGGGCACAGCTGTGAATGACGCTGAAACCACGCGATGTCGTATATGAGGTTCTGACATCGAAGGCAGCCGTCATGGGCCCCAGTTCTAGTTCAAGGTCGCACTTTCTTGAACTGGATAATTGAGAGACTGACCCAAGCTCTTGCTTCTCCAATTTTGTGGCCCATTAGAATGACCGAATACATTTTTTAAAACGTAAATTTCAGAGCTTTGCCCTAGGTCAAATCTGAATTTGAATCTGAATTGCCAGGGTAGAGGGCCCAAGAACCTACGCTTTTCAGCTGTCATTTCTTTGTGCTCTTTCATGCTATTGGGCTGTCGAGAAACCCTTGGAACTCGACACCATGGGTTACACTGTAGCAAGTCTTTCTGACCAACTCTTCACCAGGCTGCCCCAGTATCTCGCATCACACCAGGCGTTCAGAAGTTACAATTACTGTCCCCAATGTGGAAATTAAGCTGAGAAAAAAACATGGTGGTCTTTGAAAACGTCGATAACATTCTCTGCCGGGTAGGGCTGAGGTGAAGAGGCAAAGGAACGTGTATTTCAGAGTCCCTGTGCCAGTCCTTGGCATAAAATGCACTCGCTTTAAATGTCAACCTCCTTCCTTGCCGTCTTTAAAATGACAGAGGTTATGGGAAGATAATCCAAAATGAGGAGCTGAAGCAAGTAAATAAAATATTTCTTTTTCATTTTTTTCCCTAGCCTCTTGGACACTCCTGACATCTGCAATACCATTTATGTCAGGCTTATATGAGCTAACATAAAATCCCCTAGAAAAAGTGCTAGACTGTAATCAATAAATATCTCCGGGTGCCCACAAGGGCACGATGCAGTAGGAAGTTATGGGTGAGGCTAAACATGAATGAAAGTGTTGAGCCAGCCTCGCCTCCTGGGGCGGGAAGGATGGACACTTAGGAAGCAGCGTTAACTGTCAGGTCCCTGAGGTTCCCCGACTACATCTCTGCTTCCGAGCACTGAGCGGTCCCCTAGTGGTGTCTTAAAGAGTTAACACAACTTTCCCAAGGGCTTGCTTTATTCTTGACTCAGTTGTTACGTGATGCTGAGCTACCCTCCATGCCCTTTAATGTCCTACACAGATGTTCCCTCTCCTGCATGAACCTTCCCAGGTTCACGGGGTTGAGGGGAACTAGGGGGTTGACCAGGCTCCGACCTCCTTGTACGGATGAGGAGACTGAAGTGAGAGAAATCAGAGAGTTTGCCTGAGATCATACAGCCCGAACTGCCTCGAGGACCCCTCGTGGGGTGATATCACAGCTCCTCAAACACCACCTGACTGTCCTGTCTCCAGGCCTTCGCACAAGCTCTTCCTCCTGCCTGGAATTCTCTTGGTCAGCCCACTGATCCTTCAGCTTTCCGCTGCGGTAAATGTCACTTCCTGCGGGAAGTCTTCCCTGACTGTTTCCCCCACAGGGCTCCCAAGACCAGATCTGCGGGTTACACTTTCCCATAACACTCAGCATGACTGTAAGCAGTGGGCGGGCAGAGACCACATCTGGCTCGTTTGCAGCTGCATCCTTAGCAACTACACGGTGCGTGACACAAAGCAGATGCTTAATAAACGCCGGCTGCCTGCTGAGTTAAGGAGCTGTTTTCTGAACGGCTCCAGACTCTGTCCCTCCGCATCTGCCACATCTGGGTCTCAGTACTCAGCAGGACCCATCCTGATGGCGTGGGGGTAAGTGAGAAGCAAGGGCTGGCACCCCAGCTCCCCCACACTCTCCACATTCAACCTCCAACCCCACTCCCCCACCTCCAATCCCCCGCCCCCCACTTCATCAGAGGTGCTCAGAGTTCCCCGCTGTACATATTTACACTGCCTAGTCAGATTTTCTCGAAAAAGGGTTCCCAGCCTTAAAACCTCTTCAAAATAATCACTCCTTATGCAATCCCACCTGAGAAATTCCTTTAGCACTAAAGCATCAGGAAAAGCCTTCCTTCCCCTTGAAAAACCGGTGTGTTTTTATCGTGGGGATAATAAAAGGTAGTAACTCACATTTCCTTTTTCTCTCTGGCCACCAGGAATTTTAGAGCTAACACATGTAAGTACAGAAGATGTTTTGCATATTTGTATATTAATACACTGTCCCCTCCCCTCCTCGGCATCTATTTTAATTTGTGCTTTTCTGGCTCGGATCGTTCTAATAATATTTTTTTCTATTGTGTTATGCATACATCTTACAAGCTGCCTTGAATTCTTTATGGGATGAGGTGGGCATATAAACAAGCAGATGAATAAAATATTCATTTGATACTTCATTGAGCATGCTGGTAGTAGAGTATTTGATTTTCCTGCCTTCTTCCCCTTAGTTATTTTGCATTTCCCAAAGACGAGCGCTCCGGTCTTCCTTGAGAGTATGCAGTGCCGTGCACATAGTAGGTGTTCAAGGCACTGCGTAGTCCAAATCCCACCCCCGCCCCTTGCCCACCCCTCTGCCTCTGGAGCATCAGTGCTAACATCTCACCACATAAGGTCCCTGGGATCATTCAGGAGATGACCCGGGAGAGCTTCGGGCTGAGTCTGGTACACAGACAGTGCTCAGGGAATGTCAGCTATGGGGTAACATCACCTGCGCCTGGCCTCACTCTAGGCTCCGCAGACGTCCTGACATACAAGATCATAACAAAATCCCTGCCTCCTTGACACATGTATCCTAATGGGGAGAACAGCATGGAGCACATTTTCAAAACACTGTGGAATGTGACGGCAGCAGGTACATGAAGGGACGACCAGCCAAAGGTGGAAAGTGGACGCGGTGTGAGGCGGGGCTGTTTCCAAGGAGGCGGTCGGGGCACGCTTCTCCTGGGAGGGCACAGCGAGGCCTGCAGGGGGGTAGCAGCGGGCTGGATCCTGAAGGGTCTGAATGTGAGACCTAGGGGTTTAGCGGTCCTCTGGGGTAATGGGGAGCCACAGAAGGATGGGGAGCAGCTGCGTGCGGTGCCCACGCCGTGCTTTGCTAACATCCTCCACGTGGGTGCTGGCAAGGGACAGCTTCCTACCTGCTCCAGCTGCTGGATGGTGTTTTTCTGCTGGTTCTGGATCTGCTGCTGCTCCAGGGCACTGGATTCCAGCTTCCAGAGCCTGTCCTTCAGGCCGGCGACGCTCTTTTCCCCCAGAGAGGGCAGCGCCAGCAGCTCCCGCTTTTGGGCCTGCAGCATCTCCACGTCCTGCTTCAGCTTCGAGGTTTCCTGCTCCTTTTGCTAGAGGCAAAGGGGACGGAGGTGGGGTCACATGACCACGACCCCCTGCCAGGGTCACCGCTACCACCTGTTGGAATGGTGCTGCCCACTTTCAGTGCATGCCCTCTCTGCTCCACCTTGCAGCCCTGCACAGCGCCCCCTGTGGGACACCAAGGGCTGCTCCCGGACAGCACAGACAGGGAAGAGCACTGCCACTGCCCCTGGAGTTAGACCTCCAGGCACATCAAGGGAGCATTTGCCCCGTCTGTAACCTGTGCACCCGCTGGGGCTGACATGGAGCAGGGAGGCGGGGGTCCAGAAATGGCTCCTCCAGGTTGGAATGTCACCTACAGGGTCACAGAACTTTGGGCTAGATCATGAAGGAGCTGCATGCCGCTGAGAGGTTTCGAGGTTCTCCCCGTGGTAATAGGGAGCCACAGCAGGGTAAAGAGCAGCCGAGTAAAGTGCCTTGTCACATTTTAATAAAGCCCCTCCGCGTCGGAGCGTGCATGGGACGGGGCACTGCCCCTGGACGGGGCTGTAGCTAACTCATTCCATGCCAAGCCTCTCACACCTCCCAGGTGGGCACCTTAGAGCCCATGCAGGGACCAGAGCACATTTAATACTTCAAGCTAGGGAGGTCTGATTATCAGCCCTCCATCTACTGTTTGTTTTATAAGGCACCCTGAAATCATGACTCCAGATGGCTGGCAGGCTAGGACACCCACAGAGTTACCTTCCCTGTCACCATTTATGGCAAGTATGTGGTGGGGTTTTCTGAGATCCAGACCAAGAGCTAAGAGGGCTCCATGCCTCCCATCCCTTACCTTCAACTGTCGCTGAAGCTGGCCCAGTTCCCACCGGATGCTGGTGTTCTCCTGGGTCACTTTCTCGCGGAGTCCCTTCTCAAACACAGACTCACCCAGGGCCTGGGCGAGCTGCATGTCAAACCTGTCCAAGCAGAACACATGTCATGCCACCGAGGTGGGCACCTGGGACAGGGGAGGAGAGGGGCTGGGAGAGGCAGTCAGCTTGCGGAGAACCAGGAGAGAGAGAGAGAGAGATTGAGATTGTTTAATATCTTCCTATAAGGTTGTAGATGTGGGGTAGGAAGAATCTGGAATACCGGCGAGAAACTTTTAGGGTCTATATACAGTTTTCACAAAAAGACTGAATGCTTATTTAAAATATGATAAAAATAGAGAGATAAAAGTATAATAAAACTATATACACAGAATAAAAATAAAAAACATATATAGAAAAATCTGATCTATCTGGTTTGCCAATATATGCCAAGAACCTTTACCTCTACCAGGTCCAGGTTTGCTGCCTAATGACCATCGATCGATGGACGGATGACTACAGATATCCACACAAACAAGAGGTACCCTACATTTCATATTGTACATGATGTTGTCGGGCTGATACACTCACAGCCCACACTAGGGCATGGTAATTACTGATGAAATGCTGGACACTGATGTATGCAGTCTTGTGTCCATTTGTCTCCCCGGCAGAAAACACAAAGACTACTCAGTCCTATTTAGGGTGGTCCAGGAATTAGGCAATGGCTTGTTTGGGGCCCACCTGCCCCTCTGGGATGGTGACCACTGGGTGTGAAGTATTTCCTGGACTCGACATCATTCCATGTGGTTGTCCCAGCCTCTGATCCCTGTCACGGGTGAGGAAACCACAGAGGTGGCTCTGCCGAGCCTCAGTGAGCTGTGGCTTTGGCCACTTGCCCTCGGACCACACAGAAAGGCCCGCTGCTCCAGGGAAGTTGGTGTGACCGGAGTGGCCAAACAGGGCATGGGGTTTGGGTCTTGCTGACAAGAAGGTCTCCCTTGTTACAAGAGTATCCAATGTCCCATAATCCTAGATGCTCATTCTAAGCCTCTGACTCCTGAGAAAGCCAATCACGGCTCACGTGGGTCCCTACTAGTGGAACTTCCCAGGAGCTTTCTGATTGGCTGTTGGTGACATCATTCAGGAGGCGCTATTGGCTGCCTCTGAATGGAAGCACTGTGATGATGATAATGAGCCAACAACCCCAACATGCCAGGCTCTGGGCGGGGCCATGTCCTCCTAACAATTCAGGAGAAACATGTCATTACATCCATTTTACAGAAGAAAGGCGGGGGGACCTATTAGCCCCAATTTCCAAAGCGGTGGAAGTGGGCTTGAGCCCAAGTTCTCTCCTGACTTAGCCAGCCTCCCCCCCCCCACCTGCCCATGCCCTGCGGCAGGCGGGGAGAGACAGGGGCCCAGGCAGTGACTGCTGTCACACAAGAGTCCTTGATGACGTTACAGGCCACCTCATGCCAGCGAGCATCTCCTACAGACCCTAACTTCCAGAACCCACCAGCTGAGGCCAGGAGGAGTTGCACACCCTTCACCCCACCAGGAACAGGTGGGGTCCAGACTCTGGTGAGTGTAGGAGACACGGAGCCCAGCACAGGCCTTACCCCAAGGAAGCAGGCTGGGAGTTCCACCAGCCCTTGGAACTGAGCTTTGTGACCCCTGGGGTAACCATAGCAACAAGAAGCCATCCCCCCGAATGGAAACATGCTGGATCACTCTGAATGCAGAAGCCCACGTCCAGACAGGAAACTCCCAGCATGGAGTCATCCCTCCATCCTGGGCCGCACACTGAGGCCGGCGGCTGCGGCTACCATTGCTGGGATTTAGAGAGAGGGGAGGAAGGAGCGCTAACTTCTCCATCTCTCCCTCACCGTTAGACGGAGACGTCACGGCCCTCGCCGGCTTCCTAAATCACTAACACACCCACGAGATGATGGCTGCTGTTTGCCGTTGGCATCATAACACGAGTTAACTTCTGCCAGGAGACGGTGGCAGATCAGAGGGCAGGGGTGCAAGGAGGGAGCATAAGTATGAAGAAGCGGGGTCCTTCCAGAGTGGGGGCGTCGTGGGAGATCCTTAAGCCCCTGGCATGAGGGACTTATCCCCTCATTCTGCCCAAGAGGGTGAGGGGAAGACCGGAGAGGTGGGATTTCCGGGCGCGTAAACTCCAGGGGCAGACCCCCCACATCCATCAGAGCTGAACCCCTCCACAAGGCCTCGCAGAACAGGAGTGGAACCCCCAAGATCATCAGAGCTGGCAGAATCCTGGGGGTGATGAGTCCATGACTCTCAAGTTTCAGATGGGATCGGAAGAAGCCATTGCTCAGTCCCAGGTGGCCTGCTTAAAAGTCCCAGGAGTCCCCCGGAACATCAGTGACTCTCTGGTCAGAGAAGAGGTGTCATTTGACAAAGTCACCCAGGAAATAGCCAAGGCAGAACTAAGCCATTTCCCCCATTGAAGGGGCAAGGTTTAGCCAGAGCATCCAAGACGGGGAAAAAAAAAAAAAATCAATAAGAAAAAAATAAGCCTCTCTCATTTGGGGGGGTGGGCATGCTCACAACCCCCAAAAGATCTTTTCTTTTCCTCTCAGATGAAAAAGCCAGCTCAGGAAAGCTGGAGGATAAAGAAGAGAAACAATGTTTCATGCAGATCAAGTTCAAGAGCTATGCCGCTCCAGGCAGAGAGAATTCAGCTCACCAGCCACCTCTGGGCAAAGAACAAAACCACGTCCCGGCACACACAGGAACATTTCTCGGTATTTTTATCCCGGACCTTCTAAAAGAGGCTCTGTTTCATCCATCTGCCTCCTATGAAATCTCCAGGAGGGCGTTTCCGGCTCAAAATGGGGCCCCGCACGCTTCTCCGCTCACCCCGGGAGTCGAAGCGCTTCAGACAGCCAGGCATCCAGGGCCGGAGCTCGGGGGCCGAGGCCGACTGTGAGCGCGACCTGGTCCCGCCTGCCTTCGCCGGCCAGCTGTGACAGCGTGCCCCGGGAACCAGTGTGCAGCTTCAACACTGGCAGCTTGTTTGTACACCAGGCCCAGCCCCTGCCAGAACTGTAACCTGGGAATGGCAGGGACCCGATGTTTTGGCCCGTGTCTCATTCTCATTCCCCGCGTTCAGCAGAAAGGGTAGATAGGAACCAGCACCTGGTCCGACTGGCTATACCCACTGCCTCCCTGAGCCCTCGCCACGGATATTCTCGGAGGCTGAGGAAGGTCGAATGACTTGTCCAAGGTCACACAACTTAGCGGTGTAGCCGGGACCGGAACCGGGGTGCAGTGACACCATGCTGAGCTGCCTTCGCCCTCCATAACAAACTCTGCACTTGACAGATGGGGATGCTGGGGCCCGGAGGGGCCAAGAAAGTTCCCCAAGTCACGTGGTCAATGGGTCTTAGAGTGAGACTGGGTAACAGAAAAGAATCCCTTTGTGCTGGGTTCTTGGGAACACCTCATAGGAATAAGGGGCAAGGGGAGGGCGTGGGGACTTGGGCCAGAACAGGGGAGGCAAGCCCCAAGGATGAGGAGAGCTGACAGAAGTGAGGGGCTTAGGAGAAGAAGCTGGAGACCCCAAAAGACCAGCCCCAACGCAGCGCCTGGCACCCAGATGATGATGATGAAGGTGACTCACTTATTTTGCTTCTTCTCAAGCTCATGGTTTCGGCTTTGCTGGTTCTCCAGCAGGAAGCGGGTGTCCTCCAGGTCACAGGTCAGACGGTGGCACTTCCTCTTCAGTTGCTGAGCCACTCTCTTGGCCTCCTCGTACGCACTTTGCAGCTCCCCGAGCTGTGGGAGCAACAGAACGAGTCACCCCGCTGACTTCGAGCAGCCGCCATATGGAGAGAGGACAGACGCCGGAGGCAGAGACGCTGTCCTGGCCACTCCCTACCTGTGTCACTGGAGCCTCGGTTTGCCCAGAGGTAGAATGGGGTGATTCCACCATGCTGTGGCGTGGCTTCTGATTTTTCTCAATAGTCCTCCTGCCAACACCCCTGCAGATTCTTTACGTGCCCTGCCTCAGCCTGGCCACCCCGGGAGCATTGTACAATTCAGAGACCCGTCAGCTGGCATAACCTGGGGAGCTCCGGGAGCCAGGCAGCAGCAGAAATGGCACACGGAGAAAATCTAACCAGAAAACCCGACAGACGGGCTCAAAGGTCAGCGCAGTAAATGGCACTTGAGACGCTGACTTACTCAGCAGTGCGCGCACCGGGGATGACACGCAGCAAGCCAAGGCCCGCCCGGGCGTCTTCCTGCAGGAGACACCCTCCCAGATGTCCTAGTTTAGATCTGGGAGAGAGGACAGCGCAGAACACTGGCTTTGAAGAAATGGCCTCATTAGAGCATTGCTTTAAATAAGCAAAACACCAAGTTAATGAAGCCTGTAATTCTAAATTCAGTATTTGAAGGCAAATGGGATGTTTTCTTATATTTGGCAGCTCAGAAAAGGTTGCGGTTTTATTACTTTTTAATGTAGCATGACTACCCCGTTTCCTTGGGGATACTGACCCGACTTTCTAATTCGTTATTAAAGAACTGGGCTGTTTCCCTGCCCGGGTGGCCTTCTGTGTTTATGCACAGCTCAGGATGCCTCGTGGAGGACCACAGTCCCTTGTCCATCTTGGACGCGATGAGTAAAACCATCACCACCACGGAGGGTAATGAGGCTGGCCTCCACCGTTTATAATGCCATGCGATCTCACCCTGGCCCACCTCCGCAAGGTGGTCCCATGATACATAGCTCTCACGGCGAGGAAATGTACATAAGAAAGGGACAGGCACGATGAGTTCAGCTCTTGTGGTGGCTACTTCTAACGCGGAGACCGAGAAATGAAGCAGGTAATTACAATATAGCCCGATGAGGCTGATATTTGCAGAAACAATTCAGGGGCATCCAAGCCAGTCTGTGTTAGGGAAGACTTTCTCGAGGGAACGACATGGAAGCTGAGATCTTAAGAATCGTTGCAGATGTGGAGGGAAGGAGAGGAAGAGAGTTCTAGGAAGAGGAAACAACATATGTAAAGGTCCGAAGGTGAACAAGAATCAGGTCTTTTTTAGAAGGAGAAAGGAAGCAACCGGTGTAGTGGAACAGAATAGAGAGCCCAGAAGTAGACCCACCAGATACAGTCAACTTATCACTGATGAGAGCGATGGCAAGACAATGGAGAAAAGACGGTGTTTCAACATCTGGTGCCGGAACAGCTGGACATCCATCCACATGAGAAAAAAATGAATCAAGACACAGACCTTACACCCTTCACAAATATGAACTAGAATGGACTGCATGTCTAACTGTCTAATGCAAAACTATAAAACTTCTAGACGACAACATGGAAGAAAACTTAGAGGACATTGGGTTGGGCGATGATTTTTTAGAGATGACACCAAAGGCATGATCCATGAGAGAAACAATAAGCTGGAATTCATTAAAGTTAAAAAAATTCCTGCTTGGCAAAGGATACTATCAAGAGAATGAAAAAGTAAGACACAGACTGAGACAAAATGTTTGCAAACAACATATCTGACCAAGGACCAAAAACCAAAATATATAAAGAACTCTTAAAACTCAACAATAAGAAAATCAACGTAATTAAAAATTGGGGCAAAGACTCATTAAAACAAAATTTTAATGAGAACAAAAATGGGGTCAAAAGCCTTCAGAGACACTTCACCAAAGAAGATAGATGGCAAATTTGAAAAGATGCTGCACGTTATATATCATCAGGGTAATGTGAATTAAAATAACAAGGAGATTCCACTCCATACATATCAGAATGGCCAAAATCTGGAACACCAACAACAAATGCTGGCCAGGATGGGAAGCCACAGGCTCTCTCATTGATTGCTGGTGGGGATAGAAAATGGTGCAACCACTTTGGAAGGTGGTTTGGTGGTTTCCTACAAAACTAAACATACTCTTATCATGTGATCTAGCAACCATGGTTCTTGCTAGTTACCCAAAGGAGTCCAAAACTACATCCACATAAAAACGTGCACACGGATGTATATTGCAACTTTACTCATAATTGCTGAAATGTGGAAACAGCCAAGATGTGCTTCAGTTGGTTAATGGATAAACTGTGGTATATCCAGACAGTGGAATATTATTCAGCACTAAAAAAGGTAAGCTATCAAGCCATGAAAAGACATGGACGAACCTTACATGCATCTGACTAAGTGAAAGAAGCCCATCTGAAAAGGCTGCATTTGCTATCATTCCAACTATAGGACATTCCAGAAAAGGCAAAATTATGGAGACAGTAAAAAGATCAGTGGTAGCCAGGGGTTAAGGGAGAGGACTGGATGGTGGAGCATGAGAGAATTTTAGAGCAGTGAAACTATTCTGTATGAAACTATAATGTTGGATACATGTCATTATACATTTGTCCAAATCCACAGAACATACAACACCAAGAGCGACTCCCCAGTGTAAACTATGGAATCTGGGTGATTATGATGTGTCTATGTAGGTTCATTGAGTGTAACAAATGTACCACTCTGATGGGGGATGTTGATAGTGGGGGCGGGGTACATGGGAAATCTCTGTAATTTCCTCTCAGTTTTTGTGTGACTCTTAAACAACTGAGTGTTGTTACAATGAGCGGTGTATTGAAGCTGGTTTATACCATCTGATGAGAGATGATTCTGCCCTCCTCCCAATTCTACATTCGGTGAGAACACAATATTAACTTGAAATCGGCCACAGTGGGAGTATTTACACCAGGGAAACTGGCAATTGGCGGATGCTATTCGTGGGGGTGGGGGGTTTCCTGCTTGTTTATTTCTTTTCCGAAAGTGGTTGCTAGCCGACTGAAGCAGGCGGTCAGAATGCAGACAGGGTGGACCATGGCAGCCAGGCGAAGAAGCGTAGTTGACAGATGCAGAAATGTGCCTCAGGGTACAGGCTGTGCTGGCATGCCTGGACAAACAGGGGGCAAGGCCTTGGGACACAGTGGGGAGTTGGAGTGGAGACCCTCGTATTAAGGCGGGACCCTCAGAGCTGCACCTCGGTGAGAGGGATGGTGCAAGTCCCACCCGCTGGCCTGGAAGGTGGTCGGAAAGCTTGCTGCCTGCCACCCCTGGCTCTGGGTGGGGGAAAACACGTTCCTGTAAGCAATGAAAACCCCAGATTTGGACCGAGTGTGGGTTCAGAGCTCGAACTCACTTTGTGCACATTGCAAAATTCTGCAGCTAAGAACTGAGCACAGTCTCAGGCTGCCGAAGAAGAAGGTGCAAATGTGCTTCTCCTGACGGGACACGTGCTATGCACACCCCTGTGAGCTACTCCCCTTAAAACCAACACAGGTGCCCTGGCCAGTTTGCTCAGCGGTTGATGTCGGCCTGCGGACCAGAGAGTCCCGGGTTCGGTTCCCGCTAGGGGCATGGACCACAAAAAAAACAAAACAAAACAAAACAAACAAACAAAAAAAACACAGAGGTTTAGAGAATGAAAATAAGATCAACTCACAATGAAAAAAAAAAGCTAAACACACACACACAGACACACACACACACACACAGATTTATCACGAGAGTCAGAAGGAAAAAAACGGAACATTCCACAAAGCAGAGCCCCTGGGGCCACAGTGGTGGGCACCGCGCAGGGGTGGGAACATCCCAGGGGCCGTATGAGGCCCGCGAAATCAATATCGGCTAACATCACCAAATTAGCCTCACCAAACATAGCAGGCTAATTTTTAAGTTGATGATTTTGTATGCCCCTGTGAATGATGTTATAAATAGCGACTTGGCCCTTGGCAGAATAAAGGTTCCCCACCCTTGGCGTGGAGGAACACATGGAAGATGAGCTCACAATCAAAATGTATGAAATACACAAAGAAACAACCACCGCGAGAGTCAGCATAGCACTGTAACAGAACGATCTGAGAGAGAGTCTGCGAGATCCCTTGGCCGCAGTGTGGCCGATGGTGGAGGGGAGAGGTCGGAGGCAAGGAGACCAGCCGGGAGGCTGCTGCTCTGGTCTAGATGAGAGATGGGGGTGGCAAATCAGAGGCAATGGAAGTGGAGAAAATGTACTATTATAACGGAATATCACAATCATTTTACTGATGAGAAATCTGAGACTCGAAATGTGAAGTGATTGCCGCCAGGTCAAGGCAGAAATGGACCCGAACGCAGACGTCCTGAGCTCGCGTTCATGCTCTTCATAGCAGGATGCTCTTCCCCAGGCAGAACCCACAGGCACAGAAGACGCTTTCCATATCCCACATGTGGGACCAGCATATCCCACAGCGACCAGCATGTGTTATAACAGCGGAGGGGGAAAACCAGGACACGGGCGGCACCTTCCTGCTCCCTCCCTACTGCGCATCGTGGTGGGAAGAACCTGCCCTCTCTCCGACAACCCCGGGGTGCAGACTGTCCTACCTGCTGCTCCAGCTCCTTCCTGGATGTCAGCTCCGAGTCCAGCCTCTCCTCAAACTGCTGCAGGCGCTTTCTGAGAAACTCGTTCTCCATCTGAGCGCAGTCGAAGCGTGTTTGCCACTCGTCTGCTGTTCACCAAAGTCAGGGGGACAGGATGGAAGGCAAGGTGAACGGGGTGGTTCGCGTCCACTTGCTTAGCTCTTTGTACACGATTTCACCATATTAACAGAGTTCTTGAGGCCTAATTTTGGACCTCAGGTTAGGAGACCTTGCCTTAAGTCCAATCTCAAAAAAAACACACCTCCTCCAGGCAGCCTGTCCTGACCGTCTCCAGTGGATTAAAGTTCTTAAATGCTCACTATTCTCACCTCATCTGAGTTATACTGTACAATTCCCCCACAAGTGCACACATGCCTTTTCCCAAGGGAGTGGAGATGTTTTAGTCATTTGTGGATCCCCAATATTCTCTCTCTTTTTTTTTTTTTTTTGGTACGTGCCCCTAACAGGAACCAAACCAGGGACTCTCTGGTCTGCAGGCTGATGCTCCAACTGCTGAGCCAAACCAGCCAGGGCATGATCCCCAATAGTCTCTAGAAGAGCTCCCCACACACAGAAGTCCCCCATATTGATACAAGTTCACCAACTGGAATTGTCCTACTGGCCAACCATGTTGGGTGACCATGTATGTAATTAGTGAATGTTGGTTGAATTAATTAACAAACCAGTGAGTAATGAAGTATCAACTGAATGACAGCAACAGAGACACTGGTCACAAGAGGTCTCCATGAGATAACCAAACAATCCCTTGATTTGGTTAAAAAAAAAATCTAAAAATGCCCAGTCAGTGTGACTCAATGGTTGAGCACTGACCCATACACCAAGAGGTCGCCAGTTCGATTCCCAGTCAGGGCACATGCCCAGGTTGTGGGCCCGATCCCCAGTGGGGGGCATGCAGGAGGCCAATCAATGTTCTTGCTCATTGATGTTTCTATCTCACTCTTCCTCTCCCTTCCTCTCTCTCTAAAATCAATTAAAAATTTTTTTAATCTAAAAAAATAATTTGCTGGTTGATGAAAACTATTTGATTAAATAGAATAGGCTTGACCAGATTGTGATCTTTTTTTATGACCATCTAAATCATAATGTCTTGTAAAGTGATGGAGTTGTGGAAAACATTCTTTTTTTTTTTTTTTTTTTTTTTTTTTATCCTCACCTGAGGATATTTTTCCATTTTTTGTACAGATAGAGTGGGAGGGAGAGAGAGAGAGAAACATCGACGTGAAGAGACACATCGAGTGGCTGCCACCCGCACGACCAACCAGGGCCGGGGACAAACTGCAACCGAAGTACGTGCCCTTAGCGGGAACCGAACCCGGGTCTCTCCGGACCGCAGGCCGACGCTCCAACCGCTGAGCCAAGCTGGCCAGGGCTGGAAAACATTCTATAAGTGGACAGCCTAAAATAGAGACCATCTAATCTTCATCCATCTCTCCATCCATCCATCCATCCATCTCTCCATCCATCCATCCATCCATCTCTCCATCCATCCATCCATCCATCTCTCCATCCATCCATCTCTCCACATATCCATCCACCCATCTCTCCATCCATCCATCTATCTCTCCACACATCCATCCATCCCTCTCTCCATCCATCCATCTCTCCACACATCCATCCATCCATCTCTCCATCCATCCATCTCTCCACACATCCATCCATCCATCTCTCCATCCATCCATCCATCTCTCCATCCATCCATCTATCTCTCCACACATCCATCCATCCATCTCTCCATCCATCCATCCATCCATCCATCCATCCATCCATCTCTCCATCCATCCATCTATCTCTCCACACATCCATCCACCCATCTCTCCATCCATCCATCTATCTCTCCACACATCCATCCACCCATCTCTCCATCCATCCATCTATCTCTCCACACATCCATCCACCCATCTCTCCATCCATCCCTCTATCTCTCCACACATCCATCCATCCATCTCTCCATCCATCCATCCATCTCTCCATCCATCCATCTATCTCTCCACACATCCATCCATCCATCTCTCCATCCACCCATCCACCCATCTCTCCACATATCCATCCATCTCTCCACCCATCCATCTCTCCATACATACATACATACATACATACATTCAGCCATCATACTTTCCTTCATCTACCTTCCACCCACCTAAACACTTATTGAACATACTACTCCGTACCAGGTATGAGGGACAATGAATAAGAAACCATTATATCTTCCAGGAGAATCCAGTGGAGGAGACAAACATGTATAAAGACAGTGAGAGCCAAGCATCATCAGAGCTCTCAAGAAGAAATCCAAACGAGACTCACTCATAAGGGCAGCAAACAAGTGTGTGTTCATCATTGAGTCTCCAGGTATTACTACAATGCCTAGCATTTCACAAATGCTTCATAACTTTCATTGGCTAGGTGGATGGATGGATGGATGGATGGATGGATGGATGGATGGATGGATAGATGGATGGACGGACGGATGGCAGGCAGGCAGGTCTGAGGTCTTGGAGGAGGTGATCCCATAGAAATTTCCACAAACAGAAGAATGACATCATTATAAAGAGTAAGTTTGTTCAAGGTAAATAATATCATGGTGGGAAAGAATCCTGTCTCCCCACTAGGAAAATAATCGCAAGTAGCACACAGACATAGCCTGCAAAGGCAAGAGGACGCAGAAGCATTTCTGCGGCTGAACCACGCACTCTGCGTACGAGGTGCTGGAGAGCGAGTGATGTGAGTGGGTAACATAAGCGGATGAGAAAACTGGTCTTCATTCTTCAAGGCTGGTTTTCACCTCCACCCTCCCTGCCGATGTGCCATCCTTAAATACTATGTATAATTCAGCCCCTTGTTATCCAGTTACATTTTTCCTGGGTTTATCTGACTTTCCCATATATTTTGAAAGTTTCTTTTTTTAAAAAAACAATATTTCTTCTTTATTGATTTGAGAGAGAGAGAGAGAGAGAGAGAGAAACATCAATGAGAGAGAACATTGACTGGCCACCTCCTGCATGTCCCCCACTGGGGATTGGGCCCACAACCTGGGCATGTGCCCTGACCAGGAATTGAACCAGCAACCTCTTGGTGCATGGGTCGACGCTCAACCACTGAGCCACACTAGCTGGCTATTCTGCAAGTTTCTTAGAAGCCGGACCCAGCTACAATTCTTCTGTAACCCCCAAAAGGGCCCAGCTCAATGCTGGATGCGTACCATAAAAAGTTGTTCTCTTTAAATACTTAGCATGCATGGAGGAAATCATAGATACTTTTAATCATGTATACTCCAGTTTGCTTGATCCATGGTGGAGGTTGTGGTGGCATTGCAGTGGTGTGATTCAAGTGTTTTATGGCTTCTTCCGACTTTCCTATGTTTTAGAAATTTTCTGTAATGAGTATGTATTACTTTCATAATGAAAAAATATTTGTGGGTTGGCTTCCTGGAAATGAGCACGCAGAGCTGAGAGCCCATATAACATCGTGACTAATGGGCTCATGTGCTGAGCACATCTCCCTTCTCCTTCAGCTCCCATCTCTCTCCGTGGGAAAGCAAACTGGGGAGCGCCGTCCAGACATAAATCACACGGGACGGAGGTGGCGCCAACGCTCTTCTGGGAAAACGGTGCTGTGCCCGCTGCCGGTTCCTTGCAAGCACACCCCCACTCCCAGCGTGCAGCCTGCCGTGTTGGGTCTCCAGGATCAGAGGCTCTCCCGTCTGCGGTGAACCTCGCTGCTCACTGCCTGCCCTGGGCAGCCAGGATGAGGGGGAACAGAGTGCAGTAGAAAGCAAACGTCCTCCCTCATCTCCACCCCTCCAGACCTCCGTTCCCCTGAGTGTTCCTGACATTTCTAGGGCATAAACTCTCTGGGGGCGCAGAAAGAATGGTGCCAGGGTTTTATAAAAGCTGACAGACACACTGGGCATCCTTCGCACCTGACTCATTCAGACGGGGGAGCAGACTTGACAAAGATGTCACCACGCCCATCCAGCCGTGGCACCACCAGAAGTTGCTGGCTCTGCCGAGCACACCTGTCCTTGGGCGATTCGGGGTCCTCGCACCTTCTCTCCAGTCACTCAGTAACTGCTGAGCGCCTGACGCTGCTTGCAAGTGGGGACAGCAGGAGTTTCTGCCCACAGGCTATGAGCGCGGATAATGATCCCACAGGCTTTGAGCGCGGATAATGATCCCGCTAGTAGTATTCGTAGTGATAATAATAACATAACTAGCAACTATCCAGCACTCTGTGCCACCCACACGGCTAAACACTTTCCACTAAACATCTATGACGACATCCACTTGAAAAGGAAAAAAAAAAAAAGACAACAATTTCTACGGCCAAAGACACTCATCTAAATAAGACGGAATCTGGAGTTAAATCTGGAAATGCAATTTCACAGATGTTGCTTTTAACCACTGAACTGCCTTCCTCAAAATTTACATGAAAAATATTCACACATATATAAAGGTGCCTTGCCACAGAGCCACTATTTATTTTTATCATTCTTTGCATTATTACTAAACAGCACCTGTCACGTTGATCGTCTGTTATTTGGGATATAGTTGGGTGATCTGTTGAATGTCTGCCTGTTCCACTAAACTGTAAGTTCCAAAAAGGCAAGGCTGGGTCTCTTGGCTCTGCTGGAGTTTCAGCCCCTAAGGCAGTGGCTGGTCATGGATGGATGGATGGATGGATGGAGGAATGAATAATGAATGAATGAATGAATGAATGAATGAATGAAGTAAAAGAACAGCTTTTGCCATTAGCATCTAATCCCAAGGGCTTCAATCTGCTCACCTCCTCCAGCGGGACTCCTCTCCAATTCATGCAACTGAATTTTCTGCTGGGCTTCTTCCAACTGCTTCTCTACTTCTCCCAGATGTTTCTGGACTTGCTCGTACTTGCTCTGGAGAAAAGGCCCCGAGGCTTCACCCTGGGCTGGCCATCTCCCCCATGGTGCCTCCCAAACCCAACTGGCCGTTCCCCGCACAGTCCTCCCCAGGGGAGCTCCACAGCCAGGGACTGTCCACCTCTGCACCATCCTCACCCACGGCACCTCCAAGGCCTAACCTCAGTAAGACCCAAATTCCTCCAGGACCTTGAGCACGCTGGTCCCAGATGTGACACAAGGGAACAGGCCCCATCCCTCCCAGCCAGCCTGCTCATCACCCTTCCCACACCCAGGACCACGCACCTTCAGCTCCTGACCCTCCCGGAAGGCCCGTAGCCGCTCCGCCCGCTCACTCTCCAGCACCTGGCAGGCCACGTCCCCTTTGAAGCGCTCATCCGCAAGCTCTGTAGTCAGGTCAGCGATCTGGGGTGAAGAGGGTTAGCGCAATGTCACCCGGTGGGGCACTGACATGTCTCCCCCAACATGCGCTCCACAGGACCACCTTGGACAAATCACAGGCTGTACCGGCAAGGCAACCCTTCGATGCAATGACGTGGTTAAGAACACAGGCATCAGAATACTGCTGAACTTGGCGTGTTAGGATTCTTGGCCCGACGCTCACCAGCTGGGTGGCTTCGAACCAGGCAGGAGCGGATTCTTCGCTTTTCTCAGCTTTGGGGGCCAGGGAATAACTTATGAAATTGTTTTGAAAATCAAGTGAAATCATCTCCAGAAAGCTTAGCACAGTGTCTGGCACATAGTAAGTGATCAATGAAAAACTAGTTACTCTAGTAGACACTCTCCCTAGCTATCCTTCAGTGAGCCTTCTCGCTGGACCGACCGACGGGCGCCCTCAGTGAGGTGCCCACCGCATAGCAAAGAGCAATGATTCCAGCCAGGAAACGGCTCTGTGGTTCCCCGTGGCTCCCCGTGGTCCCTCTGCTCCGCCAGGTCATAGCCATGGCGCTGCCTGTCAATTGTGTGCCCCCCCCCCCATTTATGCCTGTTGCATTTTTACCATAATTACTTATTCAATTAGCTATTACATAAGCTGATAAAATATGACCGGACAAAGATTTTCCATGAAAACCAGGTGGAATGCTTTGAAAGGAATAAAAAGAACAGTGAGCTGCCTTTGAAAATTCTGTCAAATAGGTATAGGTGCAAAACAGTAAAAAAATTAGGTGTCTGCATTCAAATTACTTTCCATTTGCGCACTTTAAAGAAATCAAAGCTGGAAACCGTGCACTCATGCATTAGGAACACGGTTTAAGAAGGGAAGACGAGCTGGCCGGTGTGGCTCAGTGGACTGAGCGCCGTTCCATGGACTGAGAGGTCCTGGTTCGATTCCCAGGCAGGGACATGCCCAGGTTATCCGCAGTAGGAGGTGTGCAGGAGGCAATCGATTGATGTTTCTCACATCAATATTTCTACCTCTCTCCCCCTCTCCCTTCCTCTCTCTAAAAAAATCAATAAAAACATACTTTAAAAAAAGAAGGGAAGACAATCTTGAGTCAGAGGCTCATCCTCAAAGGGCATCGGTCCCAGCTCTGTGAGTTAAGGTGGACACGTTTAAAGTCGAAAATAAAAATGTTTACTTTTGAATGAATTCCCTTGCACTGACCTTTCTTTCCAATTAACTGGCCAAGTACAGATGCCACATAGGTCAGGGTTTCTGTGGTGTTACTGTTCCAAAATGCAGCCTTCTGGGGTCAAGGACGTGCCAATGAAAGCGAGGACAGAAACATGTGAGTGGACTGTTCATGACCCAGAGGCTCAGAAGCGACCTTGTACAGGAGAAGGGTCACTCGGGAAACGGAGGCTTCCTCTCATACAAGGAAGTGGATGCAGTCAGGAGGCAAGGAAGGAAAAAATAATAGTAGAGGCCAGGTGTGCGGCTCAAGTCCAAACACAACAACTAGCATATCGTGTGACCTTGGACAAGTCTCTTCCTCTCTGGGGCTTTGGTCACTTGAGTTGTAAAATGCATTGAATCGGGTGACGCCTGTTGTCTTCCTATCATTCTGACTCTATGCCAAAAATGTTGCGCGTGGAGACGTCCAAACACCTCACTCTCCCGTCAGACTCTCTGGGTCACACTGAGGGGCCTGCGTGGTGCCATCACACCGACGCTGTGGCCCTTTCAAGTGTGGGACCCAGCTGCCGGCCACGCCGGTCCCCATCAACACTGCCTCAACAACCACTCAGCTGCCCCGCGATGGGGAGGACGAGATGCATACATCCTGACATGAAAAGTCCTCCGGATACATTGCCAAGGGGAAGAACGGCAAAGCTGCTGAGTGGAATGTCGGCCTGTTCCCACGTTCGTTTGTACTTGCACAGAAAAAGGCGCTCCCAAACTGTTCATAGGGAACTTTTTTTCCTGCAAGGGTGGGCTCACAGGGGAGCCCGTCCAACGTCCTTGTCCTACACGTCCTTGCTGCTGCTTTTCCAAACCCCTTTTGTAATCAGAACAACACAAGACAATAAACACCTTTAAAAACAGCAACGGAGCTTCAGAGACGGGCTGCTCTGTGCCTTCTCCACACCCTCCCTCTCCCCCTCCTCCAGCTCATCCACTTCCCATCTTGCTGGCCCGCCAGTGACCACTCCGACCGAAATGCAGATTTCAATAGAAACAAAGTAGAAAGGGGGCTTGAGGGGAGTGTTTTGAAATCACACAGCAAGTAAGTGGCAGAGGTGGGACTTGAACCCAGACCAAGTAGTGGCCACCAGCTGAGGAAGGAGAGGCTCTCCCAGGACGTTGCTGGCTGGCTTTGAGACAGGGCTTCCTTTTGCTATTCCTTACCCAGTTGTCTTTGAAGTGTTCTGGGGAAACACTTGCATTGCGTGACCTGGGGTGAGTGTTAAACGCCAGTTCCAGGATTCTCATATCCCCAAAACCATACTCTCTGCAGTGGGACCCGGGGATCTGAATTTCAACACACTCCCGGGTGATGCTTAAGCACAACGAAGTTTGAGAATTATTGCCATATAAACTGCTAGGATCTCCTCCTAACCTTGGCCTCACCTGGGCTGTGGATGGGTTAGCGCCTCCTCTGGGCACACAGATGCATCGGAGCTGGACAGCGATCCTTCTCGATGGACATGAACACCAGCCGTGCAGCCCAGGAGAGCCCGGACCGCGCTCCCGGCCCCGCCCCTCATCCTCACGATCAGCATTGATCTCAAGCACCAGGACTGTGTTCTCTCCGCCTTAGCCAATTAGTGTGAAATTTAATTTGTACTAATCAGCCTGAGCAAAGGGAGCACAAAATTAATTTAATGCATTAATTCCATGTTCCACAGAACCCAAGTCTGGAGCCCGAAGGACAATTAGCCTTTTTAAATTGGGGGACGTGACAGGTGCTTTCACAGAGGCAAGTAGCCCCTGACCAGCCTGTCCCCACAAACCTCTCTCTCTTCCCACATTGAAGGGCCCGAGGGCTTTGTCCACAGAGGGGAAGGGTGTCCACGCCCAGAGCCATTGGGCGAATGCAAAATGAAAGCCAGTTTCACAAGGGGGCGGAGCCTGGCATGCAGACCCAGAGGGGTCCTTGCAGATGACACAAGGACCACTTAACTAGACGTTATTCTCAAACCTCCCTGGATCCACTATCCAGCCAAATCACCAGAAACCCTCTTTCTGCACAGGGACAGTGACTCGGCCTGCCAGAAAGAAGGGACAGGAATGGATACATTTGCTGTACATTTTTCGTCAAGTCCAACAGTAACATATAGTAAGCTCAGCCCATTTTCAGTTTGGGGGACCAGTGGGTGAGAGGGATTTGATGGACTCCATACCGAGCACGTTGTCGGGGACTGTCACTGTGCTAGTCATTCATTACGTGAGTGCCTGCTGTGTGCCCGACCCTGTTCTCCAGGACCCCACTGTCGAGATGGGGAAATAAGAAAACCACATGTGGGGCGCCCACATCTGGGCTCAACCCTGCCCTTGGCTCTTGTATTCAAGGACCCTCAAAACTCCCCAAGTCATCTTTCCTGTGGAGGGCAAACACCCCCCTTTCAGCCTCCTCCCCACTTTTCAGCCGAACTGAAGGATCTGTGCGGGTCGAGCCCTTGGACGAGAAAGAACTCGGGCATCGAATGCTGGGGACAGACAGGTGCTCAGCTCTTGGCGTGGCCCTGTTCTTTAAACCCCACGAGGAGGCTGGTTTTGGTGTTCCCTCTCACAGAACAGAAACTGAGGCACTGGGGGCGAAATGATGTGCTGACACCATAGCGGAGAAGTCGCAGAGGGGGTGTAGGCTGGGGGGCTGGGTCCCAGGCCCTGGGTGAGCTCTGCTGCACTGTCCTCCTCCCACAGTCGCCATCCAGCTCAGTCCCCACCTCCGGCCTCTGGGGTCAGCAGAGCAGGAGTCACCATCCCCCCGAAATGGCGGCTCAGGGAGGTGAGGTTAACAGCCAGCAGGTCACAGATCTACGGCCGGATGAGACTAGACCCAGCCACCCCTGCAGGGCCTTGGCCAGGGAACCAGGGTGGACCCCAGCGGAAGGGAAGCCTCATCCCCCCTACCTGAGTAACTGAAAGAGAAAATGGGAAAAAGAGAAGAGAAAATGAAGCAACAGGTGAAGGCCGATCTAGGGCAGAGCTAGCTGGCGGTGGGTGGTTTGGTTGCCAGGGAGACAGATGGAGCCATGCCTTCAGACTTCAGTCTCGGGGCACCTGCCCCCAGAGCTGCCTCAGTCATTAGGGGACGTTCAGAACAAACCTCGCTCAGTGGCAGTCTCTGGGGTTCTCCCGGACATGCTGGGGACCAGTTCGGGAATCACCCTGTATATTTATCTTCCCAGTTGGCACGTCACCCACTACTGAGTTATACTGACAGTCACCACCACAGACAGTGCTTACCATGTGCACAGAACCCTCACAGGATTGCAGAGGTAGGTACTGACATCTCCAGACTGCAGACGAGGAAACTGAGGCACCAGGTCTCAGCCACTCGCCGGAGAACATCCAGCCAGTGGCCGAGCTGGCTGGGAGTCAAGGCAGCCTGGCTCCTAACCACACCACCAACCTGCTTCTTGGGGGCCCGAAGAACACGTGCTGAGTGAACTAATAAACGCGTGTGAACCAAGAATTACAGGGAGTGCCCCACAGCCTCTGGTGCTCATGGAAATGGGGCCGCTTCTGTAAGGACGCCAGGAAATGGCTCATGCTTCCAAGCTGGACACGTGGAGAGGACACATCACTGACTGGCCTTGGGATGGAAGGGGCAGTGATGGGCTTTCACGAGCTGGAAAAGGGCCTTCGAGGTTCCCTAGCACCCCCAAAGGAGGAAATTACTCCCTGGATGCTGTTCCCCTTACGTCTCAACTTGAAAATGTTCTTTGGTCTCTCCCTCACCTCCAGGATGGAGTTCAAATCTCTAACATGACTCTCAGAGCCCCTGTGATCTGGC